GTGTGTGTGTGTGTGTGTGTGTGTGTGTGTGTGTGTGTGTGTGTGTGAAGTGACCATAGCAACCCATAGCAGGGCTCCCTCTTAACTAGAGGGTATGAGGTAACAAGAGCATTCTCTGACATGCACACACAGTAAAAACCCTCTGAGCCCAACTGAGAGGAATTCTTTTAAGAGACTCATACCCAGCCTTCATGAGGTGCAATCTGAACAGGTGACATGACATTGAGCTCCCCACTCCCAGCAGTTCTGCTTTAACCCCAGTGCTCAGCACCCAGCCTCCTTCTCTTGCTTCACTAAACTTCCTTCTTACAATTAATACACTGGGGGTGGGGGACACCCATCTTTAATCCCAGCACGTGGGAGGCAGAGGCAGCAAGATCTGTTGAGTTCAAGGCTAGCCTGGTCTACATTATGCATCCAGTGAGTCAGAGAAACCCTGTTTCCAAAATTAAGAACAAACACAAACCGGACTCTTTTACTTGTTTGCTCTCTTAATTTACTTGCTTGCCTTAACTGATGCAGGAAGATCTGCCCACTGTGGTAGCACCATTCCCTGGTTTTGGTCCTTGACAGAAGAATAAACTAGCTGAGCACTAAGCATGCATTCCTTTATTCTCTCTCTGCTCTCAGATGTGATGTCTCTAGCTGCTTTGACTTTCTTGGAAATAATGAATTGTAACCTATAATTTTAACCCTAACCCATTTCTCCTTCCCACTGCTATCAGTAGATTTTTTAACAGCAACAGCAAAAAAAAAAAAAAAACTAGAACAGAATAAATGTGAAGGAAATTCAATCTAAATAAAACTTCCATAGAAATCCCAAACAAAAACCCACAGCCCTTTCCACCTCTGGCTTGATTTTATTCAACTACTGGCTTTGTCAGAGCACCGTGCCAAGGAGGAAGACAAAGAGTGGGGCAGGCACCACAGGCCTTGGGAAGTTTGGAAAAGGCCTCTCTCATTTTCCACTGCGGTGTAAGGCTTTGTGCTGCTTAGCTGGTGGTGGTGGTGGTGTATAAGCTGGTGTCATCAGGGAAGAGAAATCTCAATGGAGAAAACGCCTCCATCAGACTGGACTACGGGCAGGGCCACCTCCAGGCAGGCGGCCCCGGGCTATACAACACAGCACGCTGGGCAAGCCTGGAGAGCAAACTATGAAACAGCACCCCCAGCCTCTGTTCCGTTCCTGCCTTGCCTTCCCTCTCAGTGACAGACTATGACGTAGTCTTCAATCCTTTCCTCTTCAAGCCGGTATTGGACAATGTTTTACCACAGCACAGAAACCAAACTAGAACAGGCTCGAAGGCTGAAATCACATTGCCCAGAGGCTGAAGGTGTGCAAAATGGCATGGTGAAGATCTCACTTGTTTCTTGTTACCACTTTGGCTTTTCGGCTGCCCCTTACACCAGAAGTGAAGAGGTGGGGAAACACACATTCGCTGTGATACAGTCACAGGTTAGTAACAGCAGCCTTCAGCCCAGACTATGCCCAGTGAGGCCGGCCTTAGCTCCCACTATAAAAGAATCTTTCATGAAAAAAAAATAACATAATAAGAATAATAGCTCTCCTGGATCCTCAATTGCTAAAGCCACTTAGCAGCCCCTTCACTTTTTTTTAATGTATGGGGGGAAATACTTATTTTTGTGGACTTATAATCCTAAAAAGAAAACAATAAGCAGAATGTTAAAAAGAATCTTTGACTTTAAAATGGAATTACTGTGCGTTAAGCAAAAGCTGCCGAGTTAATAAACTGGCCAGGGTCCATCTAGGGCCTGTCCTTGCTTCGCAACACATACTGGGCGACCCTGCAAGTGTGCGACACAGAGACGCTAATGGAGCCACGTGCTGCAGCCTGCTGCGAGCCCACCTTACCTCAAGCCTGTGGGCACGCTCCCTGCTGAGGGGCTCCAAGGGAAAGCTCAGGTTGTTTGCTTCTGCCAGAGAACGAAGATCAAAATAATACTTGGCATACACACTGGAAGGAACGTTGATGTTGAACTGTAGCAATTCAAGGAACTGTCGCTCCAGCTCATTCCTGCAAAGCAGAAGCAGCAGTACACTCAGCGGTGAGTACACACTTAGAGTAGGCATGCTGCCGAACCGCTGAAGACAAGCACCAGGAGACCTGCATCTGCCAGGAAAAGCCTGGCTAAACGCCTGCTGCAGTATTAGCGCACAGGTGTTAAAAGGCGACTCTCGGGACCTGGAGCCTGAAACATGAAGCCTGGCTCAGCTGATAAACAGCAATGGCCTTCGGGAGAGTTAAGTCGCTTAGGCCCGACCCAGCCTCCGAGGAAGCTGTCGGGAGCTTCAAGGAGACGCCCAGAGGAATGCTGCCCTCTGGAATGGAGGCCTGCACTTCTTCAGTGGGGAATTCCAGCTCCAGAACCTAGACACTGGGCTTCGAGAGGCGGAGCATGCTAAGGAGCTGATGGACTACCTACTCCGGCCTTACATGAGCCTTTTGCAGACTGGCCCTGCAGGCCCCATGTGGAGCTGCTGGGCGGCTCTCCACAGAGAGGGGAGTACACACGTGCACCACACAGCTCACTTTTATTCTGAAGAACAGGGAACAGCCAGAGTGAATTTTCAAATTTCAGTACTGCAAACATCTTTCAAAGCAGGCACACTTGTGACTACTGTGGGAGCTGGTCCTGATAACTAACCCCGTATCTACAACACTCTACAGCATCTGGTTCTGCCCTTTGTCATACACATGCAACCGCTTGGTGTGGCCTCTCTCTCCTCAGCCAGGACACCCAGTTTTCATGCTAGCTGACTTTTCAGATACGTGAAAGCAGACTGAGCAGGGAAGGCGGCGGTGAGCTCTGGTGGGAAGGGACAGCCAGAGATGAGAGAACAGTAGAGGCCTGGTCTCTTTTCCTGTCTTGTGGAGCTGAATTTGGGTGGGTTCTGTCCAAACTGCACCACATCTCAGACCTGACCCAGTGCAGCACTATCTTGCTTCCAGGCTAAACTGAATTCCAACTCAACTTGTACCTAAGAACCACCTCATTATGGTGTCAAATGCTGTGACAATCAAACAAACCCAGACCTCACATTAGCTGCGAGAAAGGACTAATATCTGAGCCACAGCTACTGGGCAGAAAGAACTCAAATCCCAGCAAGCACAGAAACAAAACAGATCAATGGAACAAAAGAAGTAGCCTGGCGGGCTGGTGGCACCAGGGACAGCCAGGGAAGACCTCCCCAAGGCCTTGCCCTCGAGTCTCCGTAAAGCACACTCAGCAGAGGTAAACTGCACCCTGTCCTCTGTGCTCCACTTTCTGGCCTACAACTCTGCCTGCTTTCCCAGAGGCCCACTGTCACAGGGACACCAGGTTAAGACCCCTACCTCAATCCGCTGCCCGCCACGCATCCTCAAAACACAGTCTCAGCCTTCAACTGCACCCTATGCCCTGGACTCCACTTTCCGGCCCACAGTTCTGCCTGCTTTCACACAGGCCACTCTGACCACGCCGGGAGCAGGGACCCCAGAGACACTAGCACTCAAAACCACAAAGGCCAGGAAGGTCACAAAAACCCCAAGGGAGGCACCCTAATGGACCTGAAAGCTCACAGTCACCAGACCCCAGGTCACTTGGACCAGAAGACTGAGAGGAAACAGAAACCAACAGGAAAATGTCAAAAAACCCCACCAATGGAACAAAGATGAACTCAGAAACCAGCATCTAAACCTATTTTGGGGTTTAGATAACCCCAAAATCTAGATGGCTAAAGGGCAACATGGCACTACCGCAGCCCAGCTGTTCTACAGCAAGCTCTGACACACCAACACAGCTGAAGGACAAGAAAAGGACCTTAATCCAGTCTTACGAAGATGATAAAGGCCTTTAAAAGAGGAAATAAATAAATACCTAATAGAAATACAGGGAAATACAATCAAACAGTGAAGGAAATCGATAAAACTGTTCAAGACCTGAAAATGAAAACAGAAGCAATAAAGAAAACACAACTGAGGGAATCCTGGAGATGGAAAACCTAGGGAAGAAAACAGGAACTACAGATGTAAGCATCACTGACAGATTACAAACGATGGAAGAGACTCTCAGGTGTAGAAGAATTTGATACTTGGGTCAAAGAAAAGGTTGAATCTAAAGTTTCTGGGACTTCAACAACAACAAAACAGAGAGCCTACAAACTCATAAAAACTGAACAACTCTACTTAATGACAACTGGGTCAGGGAAGAAATAGTCTTTTTAGAATTCAATAAAAATAAAGGTACAACAAACCCAAACTTCTGCGACACAATGAAAAAATGGATAGGAGGAGAAGTTCACAACACTAAGTGTCTTCATAAAGAAATTGGAGAAATTTCATCCTAGCAATTTAAAAGTGCACCCCAAAGCTCTCGAACAAAAAGACGCAGACACACCCAAGAGCAGACAGCAAGAAATAATCAAACTCAGGGCTGAAATAATGAATTAGAAACAAAGAAAACAATTCACAATCAGTGAAACTAACAGCTGCTTCTTTGAAAAAATCAACAAGATAAATCCTTACCCAAACTATCTAAAGGGCAGACAGAAAATACCCAAATTAAATCAGAAATGAAAAGGGAGACATAAAAACACCGAGGAAATCCAAAGAATCATTACCAAAAGACTGTACTCCAGGAAATTGAAAAATCTAAACAAAATGGATGATTTTCTTGATAGAGTCCACATACCAAAGTTAAATCAAGATCAGGTAAAGAATTTAGATAGTCCTGTAACCCCTAAGGAAATAGAAGCATTAAAAGTCTCCCAAACAAAAAAAGAAAAAGAAAAAAAAAAAAAAAAAAAAAAGGCACAGAGCTAGATAGTTTCAGTGCAGATTTCTAACAGACATTCAAAGAGCTAATACCAATATTTCTCAAACTATTCTACAAAACAGAAACAGAAGGAACACTGCCAAACTCATTCTATGAGGCCACAGTCACCCTGATACCTAAACCCCACAAAAACCCAACAAAGAACGAGAATTTCAGACTATGCCCCTTATGATCACTGTCGCAAAAATACACAATAAATACAGAGGTACACAGATACACAGCCTACTCAAAAGAACTTTGCTTCTTAGAACAAATGGAGGGATCATCACACAAGCAACTCAAAAGGCAACTTGCTGATCAGCCGGGGAGGAGGCACAGGCTTGATGGAAGCCTACAGTCTGCAGAGGTAGATGAAGGGCACACGAAGTCCACAAACAAGGGCACCTTCCATTTTCTTCAAGAGGACTTTCTGTACTCTGGTCTTGAACTCTGGGCCCTCTGTCTCCACCTCCAAGCACTGGGGATTGCAAGACACAGCTGGTTAAGTCTACACTCAGGCACCACGTGCTCACCCTTCAGAGGCACTATGGTTGGATAAGAAACACCATGTGACTTCCCCTGTAGTTAGTCAGCCTAGTCAGTTCAAAGAAAGGCCAGAAAGCAGAGAAACAATTCTCTTTCTTCCTTTTGATAGAACACGGAACACAGAACCTTCTACCCCCAAGTGCTATTATTATACGCACCACAATGCTTCCAAATCTTAAAGAACCAGTTTTCTTCAAGAAAACCCTAACTGGAAAAAAAATTTCACTCTCTTTGTATGTGATTGCTTATGGTACTCAAGATCCAGCAAAGAACACATTATTATTCAGATGCTCATCAAATGATCTTCTCTCTCTTCTGCAGCTACTGGGGCCAAACCCAGACTCTCAGACATAACAGACATATGAGCTTTATCTGCAGCGTCCAAACATTCTTTACATTAAGTTTCAGCCAAAGAAATTTTGGTCAGATTTTATAGATTTTTGTATAGAAAAGGACTTCCAAAATAAATACATGAATGGATAAATAAATAAAATAAATTATCATTTAAAAATACAATAGTATAAACAGCTGAAACAATTGTGGCTGCAGCTGCTCCCAAGAAGCGTAACCTGGCTCTTCAACTCACTGGCCTAGTGACTCAGGCACTATTTTGTATGTCCTGGTGCTCTGGCTTCCTCTAAGCAGGAGCAGTATTAGCACTTATGGGTCGCAAGGCATCCATGAACACACAAAGGCTCTTCCCCTGGATCTAGGACACGTTCAGTGAATGAGCTGGAATATTACTGCTGCTACTGCTGTCATAGTTCAGTCCGAGTGACTTTTCACATCATGGTATTCTAATCTCCATTATACCTGGAACCCCAAAGCGCTGGGGTTTACACACAGAGAGAATGAAGAAACAAGTATCCGTGCCTTCTTCACCGCCTGAGGGCTAACATATCAATCTGCCCCAGTCTCTGTTAACAGACATTGTTTCTTTTGTAAGCTTTTGGGTGTGATAACTGCATTCAGAAGCGAGGCTGTTAGCAGCTGTTGTCCTTTAGGTGGACACAGCTGCAGAGAACTCATTCAGCTCACCACGTCCCCAGTCAACATCCAGCCACGCAAACAGGAAGGTCAAGCAGACGACATTCCTTGGCGTGCAATAGACGGCAGAAGGAGATCAGAGAAAGAGGGAGCTACGAAAGTAGAACAGCCCCTAATGAAAAGCAAAGGCTACAGTTGCACTAAATACCTGTTTCCCATGAATCAGAATGACAGCATTTTAGAAGCTTTTCTCAACCTGAAATATGGTAAAGAGCTTTGGCTTTCTTCTGAAATTATTCTAATAAAAACGTCCTGTTTTTCTTACTGCAATGAGGCAGCAGAAACAGGAAGGTCAAAGGCACAGTGGCAGAGCTGTGAGTTCTCTTGCACAGGACTTAGAGGGCAGCAGGAGGCCGTGGGGGACTGATGAGGACCCAAGCCAGCACGCCAATGTGCCTGTAGCCTGGTGACCCTCCCAGCCAGGCTGCACCAGGAGGCTCACTCCAGGGCTACTGGGCCCAAGAATGTGGGGAGACTGGTAGCTAGCTAGAAACTTCCTGTCAGAACCTTCCTCCAGGAGATCAGCTGAAAAGCTGAACCAAGCGAAGAGCCCGGGCTGACAATGAAGCACCAGATTCCAGGAGGGTAAGCGGGTGGGTGCTTCTGTTGCACAGCCTTCTGCCCTGACGCCTGTGTGGGTGGGTCCTCAGCTAGCAATTCCCCTGGAACCTGCATCTGGTCAGCTGGGAAGCGGATCCCCAGTCCTGGAGCTAGGCGCGCGGTCCTCGCCAAGTGGAGGATCCTGCCTGGGGCTTGGAGGACGCTGGCACACATCAAGCTCTAGCATACACGGAGGCACTCACCAAGCACATGAAAGCACGCCATGTGGTCTGACGTAGCCCAAGCTTGCTACCAGAGGACCATGGGCTGGATCACTGATCTCCTGTCATAGTGGAGCTCAAATACAAACCCCCAAAGCAACGTTTACCTGTGGCAGAGTTTCAGCAACATTCTCACAAAACCAGGAAGCACGCCCGTTCCTGCTCTTGATCACACTGACGAGAAATACGGTAGCCTACCTTTCCACAGCCAGGTTCCCTGCTGGGCCAGCAACACCATTCAGCCAATTCATCCACTGTACAGTGCAGAGCACGGAGAGGAGGCCCGGTCTCCCTCAGCCTGAAGCAGGCGAGAACACTTACATGTCTTCCACTGTGATGTCTTTCAGGATCTGGCAGTAGTCCACGTTCCACACAGCCTGATCATCCCACACCTTAGAGGCCAGCAGGATCGCCCCAAGAACGATGCGCTTCCAGTTGGCTGGACAGATGTCAATCTCTGCGTATGTCAAGAGCCTTTCAAGATATACCTGAGGAGACACGAGGAAGCCAGCGCTAAGGCCTTCAGCTGTCTCTTCCACCCAAGTCAACTCAGCCACACATTTCTTTCTGTATATACTGTAATCGGTTAAAAAAAAAAGTCTTGAAAATGATATCACTGGATGGAAGGGGAGGAGGACCTTCCCTATCAGCGGACTGGGGGAGGGGCAAGGGAAAAATAGGAGGGAGGGCAGGATTGGGAGGGGATGAGGGAAGGTACTTGGATACAAAGTGAATAAATTGTAATTAATAAAAAAATAAATTAATTTTTTAAAAAGGTCAAAAATAAAAAAAGAAAATTATATCACTGACCAACCAAACTAAGGGTAATGGTGGAAAAAAAAAGTACACTAACTATATATAAATTTGTTAAACATACTTAAAAACACATAAACTAAGATACTATTTTCAACTCTTTCCTTTTGTTGAAAACAGATTTTTTTCCTTCCATACTATGTTCTATTTTCCCTCCCTCCACTCCTTCCCTCCATCCAGTTCCACTCCCTTCTGTGTCTCCTTAGAAAACAAACAGGCTTCCAAAGGACAATAAAAGAAAACACAGAACACCAAAACAACAGAGGAGAGCTGCATAAAACAAATAGAAGGAAAAGAGTCCAAGAGAAGACACACACACACACACACAAAAAAAAAAAAACAAAACAGAGTACCACTCTGGGAACATTCAAGAATCCGATAAAAACACTAATCTGCATACCTGCACCAGGACATACATTTTTAAAGTGCTGAAAGACCCAGCAAGTTTCCTCAGAATTAGGCTGGAGGAGTGAGAATGTAGCTGATCCTGTAAAGACTGGCATTGGCGTAAATCCCAAAAGCCCCGGGTCAAAACAAATCGTGACACAAGAATGTAAGTGCCACAAATCTGGTCATCAAAAACAAATCCTATGAAGAATTTTACACTTGATCTTAGCCGCTGACCTCTAGAGTAATATTACTTTTAAAGTCGCTGTTGTGTGCGTGTGTGAGGGCATAGGCTGCCCTGTGTAGGTGGACGTCAGAGGCTGCTGTTGTGCAGCTCTCTATTTTTACTTCTCTGTGGGCTCTGGGGATGGAGCTCAGGTCTCCAGGCTGTGGAGCAAGTGTGTCCACCTGAGCCATCATGCTGGCCACCACAGACGGTTTGTTTGTTCTTAAAGACAGGGTCTTATTATGCAGCTCACAGAGAGCATCCTGCCTCACTACAGTTTTAAGAACTAATCTTCACTGTGACTGTACTTCACACTCGGAGTTTGCTGCTGCTGTGGTAGAATGCACTGCTCCATCCTTTCCAACGGTAGCTACAGCAGGTACGCCCAGGATTCTGAGCCGTCACCCCCATCAACAGGCAGCATTTCCACTGTCCTAAAGTGAAACTGCACTCTTCACAGTCCCTTTCTCTCCAGACCCTGCAATCCCCCAAGTCCTGCTCTTGCCCAGCCCTACAAGCACTGCTGCACTTTCCCCTCTACCTGAGTGTCTTAAGACTTCTGTACCCGTGCAGTGCACAGTATTCACCTTCCTGGCCTCCTCTATCTCACTCCGCACTGTTTTCGTGTTTCACCATCTGCAGCACTAACTCATCATATGCACTTGCCCCACGGTTTACTGCCCATCTGGGAGGGGCCACACAGGCAGCTTCTTCTGTTGGCTACTGTGAGTAATGCTGCCAAAACTGGGAAGTCATGCTTTGGTCCTTTTGAGTGTAGCAAAGTGGAGCCGCTGGACCCTACGGTAATTCTGTTTAACTGACAGGAGAGATGACACCCTTCCCAGAGCGGCCGCACTGTACAGTTCGGTAGTGCAGCTGGTGCCAAGTTTCCCTTCCAGCCCTTGCTGTGTAAGCGTGCGTGCTCAAGGTGAGAATGGGCATCCTGATGGGCACGAGGTGGTGCCTCACTGTGATTCCTACTTGATGAAATGACTTGTACATTGTTTAAATAAAATTTCAGCCAGATTATAAAAATGAAACTAAAAAATGGGGATTATTTTTAATCAGAATTTATTTTAAGACAAACATAAAACACACACATACCTACAGACAAAACCTGTGTCCTAAATTAGTTGTCTTTTAGTTTCTCATAGCTAAATTAAAATTAGATTATTTCAAACTTCTCTTAATCAGTTATTTTTTTACAGTTTATTCATTTACAAAACAAAACTCCACATGAGAAAAATTAAACCCAGATATTGCAATACTCTTAAGAACTTGCTTTATAAGATGAAATCTGCATTCATATATGTATATAACACTTGCATACAGTATTTGTACAGTCTTAAATATTTACAAAATGCAAAAAGCCACACATGGAAAAGAAAACGTTAAACACACAAAGTACAGATTATACCATCTAAACGTCAATTCTCCCAAGCAGGACAGAGATTTTCTTAAGAAAGGAAACCCACAGCTACGGCACTAGACTCAGGAGAGGCTCAGCCTTGGTAAGTCCTTGGGCGTCAGGACAGTAGTATGAACTGGCAGATGTGGCAGCTGAAGTGAAAGGGTAAGATACCAGGCAGCACCTGACCCAGACCCCAGAAACTGGACAGGAATGAAGGCACTTACCCACCACTCAGTGTCTAGGCACAGATCCCACTGGAGGCAACATGGCTAACTCTGAGCCTCCACGAGGCAGCCTGACTGATCAGGGTCAGAGAAGGGCCTGGGGGTGGGGGGTACCCCTGACAGGAAGTAGCAATTGGAAGGAAAATGAGCAATCAGGCTGAACAGCGAGAAGGAGTTTTAAGGGGCTACCAACTAGATATTGTCCAGACACTTTCAGGAAAGAGCCTCAAAGCCATCAAAGGTGGTCATCTTGGAAGCAGCCAAGGCCTCTGGAATGTGCTGTTGGCTGTACATTCATTAGAACAGAAGGAACAGGCTATGTAAGGTGACTGCAGATCTGACTGGTGCTGTGTCTGAGATGTATCAAAAGATGTCCCTAAGTTCCAGGCATATGACTGAGCTACAGCCTGTGTCTGTGCAGGCAGACCAGACCCAAGCCCTGAAGTGAGGAGCAGCAGAGGCAGGGGAGCTCGCTGGTTTGGAGTTGGAGACAAGATGACTGGGCAGAAGTGGGAGGGGAAAGTAGCTCTGGCGTATTCTCTTTGCTGGCTCATTCCTGTGTGGACACCATAGGGATTCGCTATATACTTCTAAGCACCCAGGAAAGAAATGTAATTTCTGCCTCTCATAGTGACCACTGAGGTTTAAAATAAAGAGCTCAGGATGAATGACATGGAAGCATTTGAGAGTGCAGGCTGACGGGGAGGGAAGGGTAGCGAAGGGGCAAGGAGAAACTTCCTTCCGAAAAAGAAAACTTGGCTGCAGGAGGAAATCACAAGCCAGTGAGGCAGGATACCTGGGCCAGCATCTCCTGGCCCTGAACCAGACAGAGACTGTTCTACCCAAAGGGGCTGAGAAATCAAGGCCCCTGCTCCTCTCACTGATGCAAGGTTGGCCAGATATGCACAGAATGAACAGAACACCAGTTGCCTTGTTTCCAAAGACCGCTGCTCTGTGTCCAGTGAGTTACTAATAAATGCCATGTTTTAAGATCTTGGAAATGGTATGACGTGGAGAGGATAGGAACTCCATAAGGACCAAATATATCTGGCAGAGGGGTCTTTTCTGAGACTGATACTCTACCAAGCACCATCTATGGATATAACCTAGAACCTCTACTGAGCCCATGGTAGCTCAGTAACCAACTGGTTTTCCCCAGTAAGGGGAACAGGGACTATTTCTGTCATGAACTCAATGGCGGGCTCTTTGATATCCCCACCCGCCAAGGGAGGAGCAGTCCTGCCAGGCCACAGAGGAGGACTTTGCAGCCAGTCCTGAAGATACCTGATAAAACAGGGTCAGATGAAAGGGGAGGAGATCCTCCCCAATCAATGGACTTGGAAAGGGGCAGGGAGGAGATGAGGGAGGGAGGGTGAGATTAGGAGGGAATGAGGGAGCGGGATACAGCTGGGATACAGCGTTAATAAAATGTAACTAATAAAGATAGGTAGATGGATGGATGGATGGATAGATAGATAGATAGATAGATAGATAGATAGATAGATAGATAGATAAGATCTTGGAAATGTAGACTCTCGTGGTTCCTCTCTGGTACCATGTGTTGCGCAGGATGGACCGGGACACATACTGAACATATAGGAAAAACTGTAAAGAAAAGAAATTTAGCTTCTTTCTACTTCTTTGAGATAGGGTTTCACTGTGTGGCTCGTACTGACCTGGAAAACAGCACACAGCCCAGCTCAAACTTGTGATCCTCGTGTTTTACTTCCCCGTGCCAGGACAGAGCCATAGTTGTGTGTCAGCACACTAAGCAAGAACTGACAGTTCACATTCCAAACAGACAGTAAACTGTGTTACTACAACAAACCCTAAATTCCTCGTGACAGAATGATGCTCCCAAAATGTCTGCAGTTTTGTTTTTTTGGTTTTGTTTGGTTTTTCAAGACAGGGTTTCTCTGTGTAGTCCTGGCTGTCCTGGACTTGCTTTGTAGACCAGGATGGCCTTGAACTCACAGAGATCCACCTGCCTCTGCCTCCCCAAGTGCCAGGATTACAGGTATGCGCTACCACATCTGACAAACGTCTGTTTTTAATACACCCTCAATCCCAAAGAAGACACTAAGACGACATCCTTAAAACTGTGAACTGCCTCAGCACAACAAGTGTAATACAGGGACTTAAGTGCAAGGAGCTGGAGCAGTAAGCTAACAGGGAAAATTGCCACATGCTACGGCATTCATGAAAGAACTGGCTCAGGAGGAGGAGGCTGAAGCAATGAGATTTTGAGGGGCAGCTCAAAGTGGCAAATAATCCATTCTTCTGCGCACCTGTAAGAATCAAAGGCCATCAGGGAAAGCCAGGAAATAAGGAGAAAAAGCATAGACTGCTGTGAGAATCTCTGGCTGACTCAGGATTGGTCACAAGGATGAGAGCCGCTGTTGCTTACAAATGAAAGTTACTCAAGAGCTCACCAACAACCTTTGGATAGCTCAGTTTTAAATGGCATTTAATATACTGCAGCATTAGCAGTGAGGTAGTGTTTTAGAGCATGATTTTTATTTGTATAAAATAAATAACTAGGTGGGGCCAGGCTGATTTTCAGCTGGGCATCCTAGGGAACCTCCGTTTGTATTTTCTGACAACAGACCCTTCCCATTCTCTACAGGATAAGTCATGAAAAACTATACTGGAGGCAAAAAAAAAGAAACTGGGATTAGCTAAGTCTCTCAGGTCACAGAAACTGAAGGCAGGATGAAACATCCTTCCACATCTGAGTAACAACTTCTGTACACACGAGTTGGGCAAAACCCTGCAATGAAATAATTCCCACTGAGTCCGGCAGAAAGTGACTTTGAAATTTGATTCTGAGCTCAATGATAGTAGGTGGCGTATACTAATAGCACACTGGGCACTGCCTGTTAAAAACCAACATGACTTATATGCCATCGCTATCCTCTGAGGGCTTCGTAATGGAGGGGACATCACTGTAACACGGCACATGTGAGCAGAGCAACTGTTACACCGTGTGAGCTAATTACAGTGAGCACATTGTTACCACGTGATTCAGCAGAACTTGTCAGTAAACCATCTTCTTTGAGGAGTTCCTGCTGGTGTATTCTAATTGTATGCTAACTAAAGTAACATCCAACTGATTTTCATAATAGTATTACTAAACATTGCCGACAGGACACTGTTCAATTAAAATTCCACATGATATTCACACGGAAGACTCCCTAAGGAATCTCTGGACAGTACAGGTTGGTGCCAAGTACTCTGTAGACAAAGAAAGGTTCTCAAAGACATTTGGGAGTAGGAGATTGAGGTTAACTCACCAAAGGACATACATAAACAAAACTCCCGCAGTGATGAAATTATTCCAACCTGAATTTTAAAAATTATGTGAAGTGGGGTGTATGGCCTAAATCCAAAACAATATACAATTTCTTTTTGGGTGTTAATCTTGTAGTCTTAGAGCTGTTTGGTTTAGCCAATCAGAGATGACTCCAATAAGATCTAGGGAAAGGCATAAGAACAAGCCATCAACAAAAGCTGACAGCTTGATTCCGTTCCCAATTATATGCTATTTCAGATGCTAGCACCTCTCCTTTAGGGCATGAGAGTTATCATGCAAATGCTCAGCACACAACAGTGCTCTACAGAGTCGCACCTGTGGCCCAGAAACAAATTATTTTAAGGAAATAATTACAGCTTCCTGTTTTTAAAATGTCTACAACTTTTCCATTTGGATTTTTTGTACTTGGTACTACAGATTTTTCAACAGCACCCAGGGTTGCAGATCAGTGATAAGGTATTAAGCTAACACAAGCAAGTCTTAGCTTCGATCCTCAGCACTACAATTGCCCCTTCCCATCTGTCTCTCTTCCCCTTCCTTCCTAGGATTTTTATGTTGCCTAGGCCAACCCTGAACTCCAGGACACAAATGATCCTCCTGCCTCAGCCTCCCAAGTATCTGGAACTTTGGGTCTCCTGATTTTTCGGCCCTTCTCTTCTAGAAACTATCAACCCTTCTGCTCACTCCTTATTTTGTAAGACAAGTTCTTGTTAGGAAACTCTTGTCAGAACGCATGCACTTCCCAGCCTGGTCTCAGAACCTGTGTCACTCTGGGTCAGCAAGAATTACCTGAACAGGCTCTCTCGCCCTGCAGCTGGCGGGCAGCAGGAACCAGGAACAAACACACATGAGCAAATAGCTCACTGCTGAGTTAGCCCAGGCCATAAAAGCTCCATGTGGAGAAATGCAGGACCAAGCCTTCAGTGGGTTTTCTGTCAGACCAGGATCTCCCCAAAAACCAGGGAGCCAGTCTATTCTCCAGGAATGCCCGGTCACAGCAAAGCTCACTTCTCATCTGAGTGACACGCAACGCCAAGGTCCCAAACAACACTGATCTTGACAACACAGACCCTTCTATACAAACAAATCAAAAGCTAGTCACAGTCACACTCCTATTCCAGGCCACAACGCACACTTCAGTGACGTTTCGCACATCTCAGATGTACAGCACTCTGCTGTCGCACAGACAGTATGACACACTGAGGGTAGTGGGGAGTGAGCAAAAGGAAATCAGACCTTGCCAAGGATGTTCCTGGTCCATGCTACCCTGCCTCAGGCCTGCTGGGTGCACTGATAACACCCACTGGCTCTGAGTGGGACTTCACATACGACTCCACACTCATCCTCTATTCCCACAGAAAACTCCATAACTTTCCCAGGGTCACCTGACGAGTCTCTGCTGCTCGAACTCACCAGGGTGACAATGGCACATTCAGCTGTCAGCTGAGCAGCACTGAACAGTGTCCGAACAAACCGGTAAATCTGCTTCTGCTCTGGGTTGTGTCTGTCATAATCTGGTGGCACTTCGGATTTCTAGGAAAAAGAAGTTTTCACATGACCTACAGGAGCAAGAGACAGCTAACTAAACCATCTCATGAAACACAAGGAGTTCATTACCGAAAGAGGGTGGAGGTTTTCATCAAAAATATCTAAGAGCATCCTTCCATCTGGGTCCCTGGGAAGGAAAGCAACAGAAATTAGAGGTGACTTTCTTCAGAATAAATGCCACTCAAAACAAAACAGAAAAGCATTTCAGTTCAATTTAGTTTAGGAGAAAAACTGCTGTATTTAAAAGACATTGCTGGTTATTTGTCAATAATGAGTAATTTTTTGTTAAAGAATCCATAAAGATTAAAACCTCTAGGGAATTAAGCAAAGTGCAGGTTTTAATTTTCTAACATTCTCCTTTCAATTCTTCACGTTAACTACATACAGAGTACTTGCTTTCACCCTGACATCTTCATACACGGTCCCCTTCCCCGTACCTCCTCTCCAACTCTGGTTGCCTTTTTTCCTACCTTAGTCAATTCTTTCTCTCATGTATTCCACTGTTTTCGCTATTTTTCACCTTCCCTCTCACGAGCCCCTATGGCTTTTTAAATGAACAAAACCTAAAACAACTGAATTTTAACAACTTTTCTTTTACTGACCATCGGTAACCAGATGACGGTGATATGAAGCAGTCTCGAGGAAGGGGCATGCAGCAAGCAATGGAGATCAGTCTTAAATTGTCCCAGCACACACTGACAATTCCAGCAACAAGGAAGTGATTCTGAGACACTTCCAGCAGAGCTCACATGTCCTGGATCATGCACAGTGCACTTCAGCTTTTGTCCTTGCATGCAAACAATGCCAGGGAAAGTGTCCAAACACCCTAGCTAGGACTCCTGGATGTTATGAACTGCAGGTTTTGCTTTCACTGTTTTTAACTACACAAACAAAGGTATCTTATCTTCTAGGCACATAATGGACTAATTATGAAAAATAAATGATTTTAGTATTTTCCTCCTGTCATTTCTTAGCATGGAAGCATCAAAACTAATATCTCTGAATTATATCATTAGAATATCTGATCTTAAAAAAGGCATTTTGAGTTGCTGACTTGAGTTTCATAAACTCTCTCTCAGTAAATCTGGTATGGGAAAGAACAGAATTTCCAGCAACTTCCGAAATGGCCCTAAACATACTTTTGCCATTTTGTATTAGGTATGTCTGAGAAGCAGCATCCTCAGTATTAAAAATTGTAAGACTCTCAAAAAGCCAGAAAAACACTGAAAAGTCTGTGCCCTGTAGTATCAAATATTCAGCTAAGATTTCTTTATGTAAAAATAAGCAAGCACATCCATTTCACCAGTATGCAAACTTGTTTTTCTTTTTAATAAATGGTAAAATTACACTTCACACTGGAGTAATTAATGATATTAGCATATGTTTGGTTTGTTTATCTCTTTTATGAATCAACAGTGAATGAAACGATGTTTAGAAGCCCTGGGGAATACAGCAGACAAAGCTGCCAGCCATGGGTCCACACATAGCAACTAGAGCTGTGGCCTCTGGGTCCACACTGCACCTTAGACTCATGAGCTCAGGTATGTAGCACTTTGGGCTGCTAGCCTCGGGTTAATACGCTGCTTTGGGCTACTGCTGTGTGGTCCACACCGCATCTTGGGCTGGTTTCTGATCTCAGTACCTTGAGCTATTTGGTCTACACAGTGCCTTAGGCAACTGGCCTGTGGCCCACACAGCTCTTTGGATCACTGCTCGCATGCTGGCTATATAGAACCTTGAGATGATGGCTTCAGATGTATACGACTCTGACCTGCTTTCTGGTGCACACAGTGCTTTGAGATACTGGCTTTTCATCTGTACAGGGTGTAAGGCTGCTGACCTCTGGCCCACACAGAGCCTTGCGTTGCTAGCTTTTGGTCTACACAGAACTATGCGATGCTGGCCTATGGTTTACACATCATTTGGGGCTTTGTGCCTCTGACCAACAAAGTGCTTTGAGATGTTAGAGCAAGTCTGTTTGGTGCTTTGGGCTGCTGGCCTCCGGTCTGGGAGTTTGGTCTCTGAAGAGAGCTCCTCACCTTATCAGTGACAGATTTACTTACACTGACCTGCTGAATGTAGACTGAGTTTTGTCCACAAATTTAATTTACAAGCTACAATTGTGAACAAGTCCTACTCTGCTTTTCTACTGAACTGATAAAACACTAAGAATACGTTGAAGAAAAAAGGCTTCCACGTCCTGATCACAGTTGACCACTGAGAGAAGATGAGGCAGAAATTCAAGGGAGGAACCTGGAGGCAAGAGCTGACGCAGAGCCCATGGCGAATGCTGCGGCTGGCTTGCTGCGGCTGGTTTGCCTCATTTGGTTTTTCCTATACAACCTAGGACTATCTGCCCAAGTGAAAATGCCCTCACAGACCTGTCCACAGGCTATTCCAATGGAGGCATTTTCTCAGCGGAGGTTCTGTCTTAGCAGATGACTCTAGCTTATGTCAAAAGTTGACAAAACAAGCAAAAAAGCAAAAACCCTAAGTGATTTTCAGGGAATACAACATCATTTCTAATTTGTGTATAACATTTAGGCTTAGCTTGAGAACAGGCTTACTGACCTGTGTCTAAATAAATCTATCATAAATATAAATGAAGGAGGGTAGGGAACATGGCTCAGTTCTGCCTAGTCTGACGAAGCCTGAGGTCTGAGTCACGGCACAGTGTGAGTGAGGTGTGGTGGTGTGGCCCTATACCAACACTTCAGAACAATGCTAAGTCCACGATCATCCTTGATTACACAGTAAGCTCAACACCAGCTTGGAATACATACGATCCATCTCAAAAAAAGAAGAGAAGAGAAGAGAAGAGAAGAGAAGAGAAGAGAAGAGAAGAG